CTGCTAGGGCAGGGGGGTGTCCTGGAATCTTCTGTGTGTACTGAGGGATGACCAGGCATCTCAAGCCATGTCTTCTCAACATATTAGATACACTTCTCTTTCTTTAAGAATCAGAGTGAATGAGAAATTCGCAAAGGAAATTTCCCACAGGAAACCCATACCATCTTTCATTTCAGTTGGCCAAGTTTTAGCCTCTACGCTCATTCATTTGTATTGTTTTGTATTGCAAAGCTTGAAGACCGGGTCTCCTGACCAAACATATCGTGCCAAATGCTTTTCAGAATGTACAGGGACAGATTTGAGACATTTTGATTCTGCCTAGACCCACTGCCACGGGCTGATTGTAGGTTCCTTCTGGTTTGAGATGGAAAAAGGGGCAAGTGGCAGTATCCCCAGGCAGTGCTGAAGGACTTGGGAATAATAACATGGATGGTGACATCAACAACCTCCTTGAAAAATAAAGGGACGGTTTCAGGCCCTCCTGAGGAGATGTGGAATGGCATTGAATATTTTTAAGAAAGGGTAAGAAAGTCATATATTTTGTGTCTTTCTCTAGCTCCTCTCTGCAGTCTCTGAATGCATAGGGCTGTCTGCTTAGTTGTGTTTTCCTTTGGTCCTAAGGAGCTGTTTTATTTCCCCTGCAGAGGCAACCCAACAATCTGTAGTCAGAGCTCGGGAAAGTCAGAAGGCAGAGTGTGTTTTTGGCACGACCTGGCCTGCAGACAGAGTGAGTGACATTTGGGCATTCATACAAATGACCCCTTGCACAAAGGTTGAGGAGAAATGCTGTGTGATCTGGGGCTGCCATGTGAGGTTTGAAAAGATGGAATGTCAGACACATTAAAAATATGCATGCAAGAGTGTCTTTCTCCAATGTCAGACCTACAAGCTTGGATTTCCTTGGCTTTATAAATGCTTTTCTTTTTTTTTTCCCTCGGAGCTGAAGATGATCCTTTAATGCCAGATTTTTCCATCTTCACTGTAAAGGCAATCTGTTCTACATTTTCGCACCGTGAGTGCTGAAATGACTCTGACGTACGTTTGATCTACTGTGTACACCAGTACTATTTGCCAGGAAAGGAATAACAGAGGTTGGAATAAGAGTGTACATAGAAACTCAACAAATTTTTGATCTTTGAAGAGATGGAGAAAAATGAAAGAAATGAATAAGTAAACTCAACAAGAAGTGAGTGAGCAAGTGTGTTCATTCTCTTCATATTCATTCTCTGAGTGCCATGCAGCTGAGCAGCGCCAAAGCCAGTGGCCTGTTTTGAATTCCAGCTCCACCTGTCACTAGCTTATGACCTGGAGTCAGTTATTTAAATCTCTCTGGGCCTCCATCTCTGCATAGTAAGATGAAGATAAAAACAATATTTACCTTATAGAGGCTGTTGTGAACTAGTATACCAAAAAGGCTCAAAATGGGGCCTAGTACGTGGTTTCACAATGTATTTCTTAACTACTGTTATGTCTTCTTTTTCTCGTAATTTTGTGGGTCTATGGAAATATGAGGGGGGGAAAATAGTCATTTGGAGAAAATCGGGTCCAACCTCCAGGTCCACCTTACTTGTGGTTTATAGCGATATTGCATCCTCAGTTATAATTATATCTTCATTCACATTATTTTTAGATAGCATTAGAGTTGATTGCAACAACATTGATGAGAATATGCATCTTTTTATTCATTTAGTCATGCATTTGTGTTCGTTCATTTACTGATGGAATATTTATTTGGGTAGGGCAGAAGGCAATTTAAAACCTATATAGAGCAGAGACTTTTATCCTGAAGGAATCAACAGCCATTTGGTTAATGGTGCAAACCATGAACATTTCATCAGAATAGTCTTGTTTGTAAAATTCTGTTAAGTCTCAATAAATAAAACAACTTTCTCATTTTGTGAGAAAAATTTGGTGTCTCTACCAAGAAACTGACATTGCTAGCCACATTCATATATACCATTATTCTTCTGACTAGAGATATGATCTTATTGCCCTTGTTTATCTTATCTTATTATTTATCTTTACCAATACCTTCCTTTGAAATTACCTGGCATTTTTCTTCTTTGGTGAACAGAAGGACTCTACCTCAAGCTTGACCGAAACACTAAGAGTCTATTTTATGCAGAAACAGCTTAGGCATTACAAATGGCATGGAAATAGACAATACTATTCTATTTTATTTTGCATATATTTTGACCCACAATGTATTTAAATCTACTTTATTTTGGATGTAATTCAACCTGCCTTAAGTTAAAAGGCCTTAAGCTTTTTCTTTTGTCATCTGGGCTTCACTAGATGTATGAAGTATGTAGCCACTGTTTAAAATACGGAATCTGACAGATGACACATTTTCTTTTGAAAATAATACAGTATAACTGTTTTGTTGCAAGGATAATTATACATTTTTTAAAGCTTAGTTCTCATGAGCTTAAAAAAGTTCATGCCTTAAATGTTTTTCAACTTCTAGCAAAATTTTATCAGGCCTTCCAATATATTTCCCAAAGGTCACCAATGGTCTATGTGTGATGGTAACCAAAGATGTCCAATAAATGCAAAAGTTGTGAGACCATCTTATTCACTAAAAAGATAACTTATGGTTTGACTTGAGTCAGACATTTACTCCTCTGGGCCGCAGTTTTATCATGGTAAAAATTAGAAGTTTATGTTGGTAACAGTTTATGTTTAAGGTTCTTCCATTTAAATTACTGGGATTCTAAATCTATGCTCTCCAATATGGTAGACACTAGCCACATGTGATAACTGAGCACTTCAAATGTGGCTAGTTCAAACTAAAATGTGGCGTAAGGGTAAAATGCATACCAGATTTGAAAGACTGAGTACCAAAAAACTGTATAATATTTTGACTATGTAGGGTTAAGCAATATATATTATTGAAATTAACTTCATCCATTTATTTTTAAATATTATTTTAAATATTTATTTTAAAATATTTTTTACTTCTTAAAAGTCACAAATTAAAATTACTTATGTGGCTTTTAAGAAGGGGAACACCCCAAAATGGAATTATTTTCTGGAGGGCGGGTCTCTCACACCACAGGTGTCCGTCACTAGGTAAGCATCAGTGTACCAGCTAGCGTTGCTGTGAGAGGCTGTGTCTGGCTTCAGTGAATTTTTCTGGACATTCTTTCAACACGTTTGCTCATTTCATGATGAGTGATTTAGAAGCGCATTTGCCTACACTGTGCTGAGTGTTCAGCAGTTTTTGACCAAAAAAGCGTGACTCCCATGTCCCACCCCCCTATTCACCCTATCTTGCCCCTAGTGACTTTTTTGTTATTTGTTTGTTTCTCCGGATGGGAAAACAAACAAACAAACAAACAAACTGCTCCAAAGGAAGCGTTCTGCCAATGTGGAATAGATGAAACAAGAAAAATGGCAGAAGCACTAAAAGGCATCAACAGTGACGAGTTGAGAAACTGATTTGAGCAGTGGAAAAAGCGTCTTGATAGGTGAATTGCATCAAACGAAGAATAAACTTCGAAGGTGACTGACGTTTTAACATGGAAGGATAAATAACATGGAAGGATAATTTTTAATAAATAAATTCTGTTTTTAGGGTTCCACTCATATTAATATTGGACAATACTAGTCTAGACCTTCAAATCAAAGGGATCAAAATCCATCCATCTTCAAAGGTTTTTAAATGTCTAATGGTTGCTATTTCAATCCGAGATCCTTATACTTCTATAAGTCCAGTTTTTGAAGTTCAAACTCTTATGTATCAAAGCTAATAACTCCGGCATGGGCAGATATTTCTCACCAAGTTCCTTTTCAAGTTGCCTGCTGTCAGCGTCCTGGGAATACGCTATGACTATAATCATTCAAAATCTTTGGGATCATCTCAACTATATCATAAAAGATAATTAGGAAATAACACACTAAAAGGTTAAGAGTGATTATTTCTAGGTAGTGATGCCCTGACTGAATTTTTTCATTCTTTTTTATTCTTTTTGTTTTCTTTCAACAACAAAGACTGTTTTTTCTTCATCAGAAAATGCATATCTTTACATTTTAGTATGATTTTATAAATTCTATAAAAATCACAAGTATGTTTAAAAAGAAAAGGACTGACTTACAAGGAAGTACCCCCCAGATATGTAAATCTTCTTTTCTGTATTTCCAAATTTCTATAGTGAATAGGTTACTTCTATCAAGAGAAGGAAGTCCACTTTGTTTAAAAATTGCAATATCCATGCGCTCTTTTAACCCTAAACCTAAGCTAGTTTACATGCTGATTTTCTCAGAACTCCCAAAGCTTTTATCTCTATTATATTAGACTGAATGGCAGATACTGGAGATTTTTGCCTCAGTTTGATGCTAATACAGATATTTTAATATTTTTTATGATAACTACCATCAAATGAAACAGGACAGTGACTGTATATGCAGGAGACGGGGAAAAACACCCAGAAGGTATTTTAATATGCAAGGTCACCATGTACAAGGGATTAGCTGTACTGCAAAAATGATCAGGGGTGTCAGTTACATCTGAGACCTACAGCAACAGAGAAGCAGCTTCCTGCACATATTCCAGACTAGCTCGTGCAACTGCATGCACACTCAGGAGGGCTCAAACACACGTGTGTACACACACATGCACACACACGTGTGCACACTATTGGGTAGGGTTGTGCCCTATCCCAGTTACTTTTCTCACCTGCTTTTCAATCTGAGGGGCCAGAACCATGACCTTACCTCTCAGTAACCATGGGGAAGGAAACATGGAGACGGTGCAGGGCTTGGTGGTGTGGTGGCAGGTAAGAGTACACACACACAGACACGAGTGGCGGGGGGCTGCTGTCTACTTTACTGGCTCTGGAAAGAGCTGGACTTCTAAGGACCAGACAGGTATGACTGTTGAGCCTAGCAATGATATACTCACTCGATTTTTTTTCTTCTCTAGAAAAGGTATCCTTCTCCATTTCCCACAAGGCAACAGCCCATCTGGCTATGTCACTTTCAAGCACAGCGGAACTTACTGTTGGTAGTAAAGATGACTTCTCCCTCCTGGGGTGTGGGGTCTGCATCCTGGACTACCTGCAAGGCTCCCACAGTCCGCACAGCTGGGTCCAAAGTGACTGAACTTTCATTCACTGTCGTGTCGCTTGCACCTGTGATCTGGTTGGTTGGTGGACCCCCCAGGGAACCCTCATAGTCGGTGGGCAAGTCATCCATGCAGTCGGCGTTGGGCTGATGGGAGCAGAAAATGATCTGTTGTTAGTGCACTTCATCAACTTAGAGATGAAATGTCTACATCCTGACCATTTAATCTCGATAAAAAATTAAGTTCTTTATTGCTTACTTAAGCTACTTTATTTAAAAATGTTCCATATATAGTTTCTGTGACATTAACATGAAAAGACCTTTCAAAGTTCCCTTTCCAAAGATTTCTTTTAGATTAAAAATGAAAGTTTTAATTCAGGGAGTAGTACTATCTCTACATCTAAATCATTACTTAGGAGGAATATGTGAAATTTATTCATAATAATAGCACTTCCTTGCATGTAGTATTTATTGCCCACCCAGGACACAGCTGGCAGCCTGGTAATTATCTCCAAAGACTCATGCATTGTTTACATGTATCTTAATGATATGCGAGTAGGAGAGAGGATAGACTCTGAATCATTATGCCTTGCTCATTAAAGATACATACATACACATAAACACACACACAAGCACAGGGTAAGGCTATTTATTTATTGAGACACGGGATCTCACTCTCTCGCCCAGGTTGGAGTGCAGTGGCACAATCATGAATTACCACAGCCTCAATCTCCTGGGCTCAGGTGATCTCCCACTTCAGACCCCCAAGCAGCTGGACTGAAGGCATGTGCCACCATGCCCAGCTAATTTTTTTGATATTTGTAGAGATGAAGTCTTGCTATGTTGCTCAGGCTGGTCTTAAACTCCTGGGGCCAAGCAATTCTTCATGTTCTGCCTCTTTAAGTGTTGTGATTACAGGTATGAGCCACCACATCTAGCCTTAAGTCTACTTAAAAAACAACAACAACAACAACAAAAAACACAACCCATAAAAAAGCCAGCTACAAAAAAAAAAAATCCCTACGTCCTTAATATGGAATTGATCATACTCTAATCAAATCCTCCAAATTAAAATCTTAGGATCATAAAACTAGGTAGGGTCAGCCTCTCTTGTTCAACCACCCATTCACTACAGGACTCTTTTTCTTCTCCCCAATATGGCTGACATCTCATCTTGAACAACACAGCAACGGTAGCTCTCTGCTTTGCAAGGCAGGCTGTGTTGGCCAGTGTTGCTGGGCTGCTTTACCACTGGATCAAATCTTACTCTTTGGTCTTAGTTCTGCTGTGTGCAGTAATAGTGAATACATCTATATCTCATTCATCAACAGGTTTTGAAACTACTTTCAGTTGTTGTGTCTCTCCACGAACTTATAATACTTATTTTTAAAAGGTGGGGGTGGAGGGATATGGTCTTAAGGGATACTAAGAATAGTTAATTTTTTTGCTCTGGTCCGAACTTCCACTTTGTCCTGAGGGATGATACACGGTTTTATGCTTCCTCTCAATGTATGCATAACATGATGGCCAGGATTAGGTGAGGAGGATTCAGGGTTGACATTGATTTAATTCACATCATAATGACAGTTGTATTCAAAGTTAATTAGAAGAGGAAAGCCTACAACTCATGGACTCATGGAGAACAGAGTGAGACATCCAAAACGCCAGACTCCTGTCCTAGTTTTCTGCTCTTAAGCTGTATAATGCCAGTCTCCTGAGCGCCACATCTGTGTTTCTAACAGCCCTGTGGAAGTCTCTATCATCCCACAAAACCCTCAAACTCAGCTCATTCCTTTCGTCACTGTATTCTTTTTCCCTTCCCCCATACCTTTTTGTTGTTGTTGTTGCCTTCTCTAGCTATTTTGGGAGTGCCAATTCATTGTCAAAAGTCAATTTCTCACGATGGCCAATTCGCCAAATGTATTAAATTTATTGACTGTGATTTTGGACACGAGCAGGGGTGTTTGCAAACATTCTCTCCGCATTACCAGTTTCCCTATATCCTTACAATCTTTCCCCTGGTTTGTTTCAGTTCAGTTCTCTCACAGAACATTCTTTAAAATACATACACAATATGATTCTTCTCTTCTCCTGAGGAAGGAATTATAAGAAAGGAGCGCTCTTTAGCATGACAAAGCAGATAATCTAGAGCCTGGCCACAGCCTTCTTTTCTGGCCTCACCTTTGGAAACACAGAACACACCACACATTCCCTCACCTCAATGCTTTAGCTTATACTATCCCTGTGCTCAGGGTGACATTTGCCCCATCAGCCTCCCTTTCCCATCCCAGGGTCTCAAGCTGATCCTTGGTGAATTCCTAATCACCCTTTAATCCTCAGACCCATATCCCCTTTTCTAAGACCTGTTCCCTCCCAGGTAGGCATCTTTGATCCCTTATCAGCTTATATGGCCTTTCTCCCATGCTGTGTGGTCATTTGTTATGGTGCCTGTCCTACTCTACTAGTCCACAAGCATTGTAAAGTGAAGCATCCACACCCCACTGATCTTGGGCTCTAAGCCCCCACGTGGCACCACTGACAATTATGAGGTGCTCAGTAAATGTTGATTTGGAAGTTTTCTCTGAGTCTCAGATTTCTGCTCTAAAATGGTCATGTTAGTATCTGCCTTAGATCAATTAAGGGAGAATTTGCAAAAATACTTCAAAAACTTTAAAGTTCTATGCAAAGATAAGATATGCTATGTACAGATGTATATTAAGCAAAACTAACTGAGTTGGGGGATCAGGGAGACAAATAATTCACAAGGTGGGCACTGTGCAGGTTGTTGTTTCAGTCATGAACATCTGAATGCAATCATAGGCAATCATGCTTTCAAAATGTTGATCCTGGTTGTTGGCATTGTTCTTTCATTTGATATATTTTCTTTTTCTTTCTCCCTCCCTTTTTTCCTTTCTTCCTTCTTTCCCTTTCTTCCTTCATTCCTTCTTCCTGCTTTCCTTCCTTCCTTCTTTCCTTCTTTCTCTTTCTCTCTTCCTTTCTTTTTTAAGACAGGGTCTCACTCTGTCACCCAGGCTGCAGTGCAGTGGCACAATCATGGCTCACCACAGCCTCCAACTCCTGGGCTCAGTCAATCCTCCTACTGCCATCCCTGAATAGCTAGGACTACAAGCACATGTCACCCCACCAGGCTAATTATTTTAATTATTTTCTGTAGAGACGAGGTCTCGCTATGTTGCATGCGATTTTTATTTTATTTATTATTTTGTAGAGATGAAGTCTCACTATGTTGCCCAGGCTTGTCTCAAATTCCTGGGCTCAAGCAATCCTCCCTCCTTGGCCTCCCAATGTGCTGGGATTACAGGCATTAGCCTTGTGTATTTTCTTAATGTTGATGCAGTGTAGCTTTTTGCTCTTAGTCTGTGGGCTAGTAGGAATAGTACTGTATCTTTAACAGGGGAGATAGATGGAGAAAGAGCTAATTAGCTTAGTGAGACTGCCAGTGGTAGCACACACCAATAATTTGGCTTTCATATACTAATTAATAGAACCTTAAAGAGCCTCACAGATTATATCCATTCCACATGGTCCATCACATAAAATACTCTGCAAAGAAACCAAATTTATAGACTGCTAAGAGAAGTCACAATCATAAAGTCTAAAAGATAGATGTCAAATGCTATCAGCAAGTGAATACTGCAAAGGTTTAAATTCAGGTTTAGCATGGAAAAATTCCTCAAACAAAGCAACTGCTAGATAGTTAGAAGCTTGAGAATATCCCAGTTACACAGGATTTTCTATTTAATAAAAATTATCATCTGACCAGGGGTGGTGGCTCATGCCTATAATCTTAGCACTTTGGGAGGCTGAGGCAGGTGGATAGCTTGGGCCCAGGAGTTCGAGAACAGCTTAGGCAACATACCGAGATTTCATCCCTACAAAAATAAAAATAAAAAAATTAGCCGGGCATGGTAGCACACACCTGTAGTCCCAGTTACTCAGGATGCTGGGGTGAAAGGATCACTTAAGCCCAGGAGGTAGAAGCTGCTGTGAGCCATGATCACTCCACTGCACTCCAGATGAGGTGACAGAGTGAGACCCCCAACTAAAAAAAAACCCATCATCCTATTCCTATCAGAATAATAGTGATTAAAAAAGGTATGTGCTGGCATTAGGAATATCCAGGTTATACAGGACCTGAAGAGGAGGATTCACTGAAACTGTGTTCTGTCATGCTACAAAGAAAGACCCAGACCTGACTGGATAAAAAGGAAGGGGAAGCACTGTAATGTAGATAAAAGGGTAAAAACACTTCTGATAATAAAGAACTCCTCCTTTTTTCAATTCAGCATTAAATTTCTCTTGGCAAAATATAATGAAAAAGATTTCATTGTTACAGGAATTTCATGCCCCATGAGCTGTGCTTTCATTCTTTAGCTTATTGTAGAGAAATCACTTCCAAAATGAAAATGTCCCTAGCTCTTGGTTTTCAACTTCAATTTATTTGCCTTGTAGCATGGGCAGGCACAAGGACACTCAGTTAAAAACAATAAAAGCCACAAACAAACAAAAATAATATACCACTGTATTTAAATAATCTAGTGGATCAGGATTATAACCAAGTCACGTGCGAGTCAACACTAGGGTGAAATCTCGATACTACTCTGTGGCCAGCAGCCTTCAAGACCCTGAAGGGCCATAATTCCTTAGACCTTTTTTGAACACAGCATATGTAAGCGATACGGAGATAAAGTATCAACAGACATCATTACTAGAGAAGGAGAGATCCTTTTCAATGTTCTTTCAATAAGAAGAAATGGAGTATGAGCTGGAAAATTCTATGACAATTCAGTTAGATAGAAGAAGTGATTCCTTTTTGTTTGTTTGTTTGTTTGTTTGTTTTGAGTTGGAGTCTCACTCGGTCGTCCAGACTGGAGTGCAGTGGCCGCTCCTGGCCACCGCAGCCTCGACCTGCTGGGCTCCGGGGATCCTTCCGCCTCAGCCTTCCGAGTAGCCAGAATTACAGGCATGCGCTACCATGCCTGGCTGATTTTTTGATTTATTGTAGAGATGAGGTCTCGCCAAGTTGCCCAGGCGGGTCTCGAACCCGCGGGCTCAGGCAATCCACTCACCTCAGCCTCCCCAAGGCGTGGGATGACAGGCTGAGCCACCGAGCCCAGCGAAGAAGTGATTCCTAACTGAGAAGGCCATGAGCTTGTCCAGTGAGATGGAAAGTTTTAAGAATGAAATAGAAGTCATTTGTTAGTATGATTTAGGCATAGTGCCACCCAAAGGTAGAAGGATGGGATGGAACAATGACCAGAATTCCTCCTAGATTCTGGCTCTGTCATTCTCTAGGACAAAAACAGGAAAGTCTTGGGAGGCATGGAGGGTGGCCATATGCCTTAATGCTTTGTGAGCACACGAGTGCCTCACACTTTGTGGAGGATGTTCCATTCTGTGGGGCAAGCTTGGATGTATGTCATGTTCTTGTTTGGCTGGCCTTTAAAAATCCTTGGCAAAATCTCGAAGATGCTACCGGTGTTTATTTTTCCGAGAGTCCAATGTGCTAAGTAAAATCCTATCCAGGCTTGGCAAGCATCAAACCATGGCCAGGATGCCCAACTGCTAAAAGAATACTATTAATTTTGGAAATAAGCCAAATGGCCGCCCCATAATTCTATTTTTAAAATAAGTAGTAGCAATATTTGCAACTCATTTATAAGTGACTTCTGGAGAAGTTATAACTCCATGGGAAAAGTCTGGAGTCCAATGCTACTTGATACAGAATTCAAGCATAGGTGCTTGTTTGGTTTCATTGTCTTGACCAGAGGGCAGTGGAATTAACACTTAGGATCTCTGAAAATATCTTGAGCAATGGGAACTAGGTCAAGGGATGTAAGCATGTCCCTTTAATTGTGAGAATCGTGAGCATTCTAAAGATTTTGGAGACCACAGACACACATACACACACACAAGGACACACATACATACATTTCCCGCCTCTCTTGAAAGAATCAGTTATAGCCAGAAATGTGACAAGTACAAAAAATGCATTCCATTTTTAAAGTCATCAGTGTCTGGTAGAGATGCTGGGTTTTTGCTAATGTGTCATGCTCACTGTAATTGATTTTCACCTTGGATGCATTATGCATTTACAACTGTGATCTGAAAATGTAATGCACTCTCTTTAAAATCTCGCTCAAAGCTGTCATCACACAAGGTGATTTGCATTCAGAGTATCAACCATGCAAATCAGCATACAGCTGGCATGGAGGCAGCTGGCATGGCGTAGACAATTCAGCCAATGCCCAGCCTCATAATGCTTCAGGTGTGCCCTCTCCAGCAGAGTCACTCTGCTATTCCTAATTAGCCTTTGGGCATTCAAGGAACCCTTTGATATGTGATCTGATCCTTCCTTCTGCAGTGACATCTTGAGACTACTAGCATTCTCTTTATTCTCTGCTATTGGGAGTGAGAAGTGACAACAAGCAGTGAAGTGGAAGGGGCAGAGGAAGAGACCAGGATCTGCATTCTGTTTGTCTGGCTTCTTTAGGCAGTGCCTTCTGATTTCTCCTCTCTTGCTGTGTAGTCCTTGGATTTGGTAGCCCGCTTTGCTTTCTGCCCTCATCTACTTAGAGGGGAAAACACATAGCAGCTGATGTCTCGCCACCCACCTGTTGGTAGGCTTCCCTTGCTGTGGTCCTGGGAGTCTTTCCCTGGAGTGTCAAGTTGGCTGGCAGGATTCTCTTTGTACTGGGGCAGAGACTCAACTTTAGAAAACACATAAGGGAGGGAACCAGCTTGAAGGCAGTGTTAGAATTAAGTGGACTTGGTTCCGGTTTCCTGTTCACTCAAGGTCTCCATGGAGATAGGAATTTAGCAGAGACCGAGAGCATGACTCTCAACTGCTGTCCTCTCCTTCCATTGCTGGAAGGAACTTGTTTCTTCTGAAAACTAGGTGACTGTGGGGTGATACCAGGAAGTGTGGCAGGCAAATGTCCTTGATGGGTGAGAAGGGTGATGGTGCAACAGGTGGTCAATGTGCACCTGGCCCCTCATGCTTCTGCTAGGGACCCACCTGCCTCAAAAACTACAGCCCAGAAGAGACGCCATGAGCTGCATAAGAGGCCCCTTGACTTACAGACAAATACAATAGACACGGTGAAAGGATCATGATGTCCTCAGACCGAGAAAAAGTGAGAGAAGGAATGTTTCCAGACACGAGAGTTCTCCTGGGGCATCATAAGACAACAAGATTGCTATGTGACTGAGGAGACACAAAGCACCCAGGTAGGATGTTTTCTCCCTGTTTTGGGGGCAACGCGGAAAGACAGACATTACGATGCTGTAGGCTGTGCTGTGCTTACCGGGATCCCTAGGGCTTTAAGAATGTTCATCTTGCACATGGGACAGGTGCGATGATCTAGAAGCCAGGGGTCAACACAGGACTTGTGGAAAAGATGCCTGCAATGAGAACCATACATCTTAGAGTGGCGGCAACTGCAGAGATTACCTAGTCCACCATAGCCCAGCAAGGTGTCCAAGGCCACACAACTGCTCAGTGACAGAGCCAAGATGTGAACCTCTATCATCTGACTCCTGGGCCAAAGTGTTTCCTGTTAAACTCTGTGGTGCTATAGTCAAAATGTGTCTGGACCAGGCGTGTCCTATAAAATTTGCAACCGAGTGTTCCAAGTTTCAGAAAATGTAGAGAACGTAGAAACGGAGAGGTTTTTGTCTTTCTTGATGGGAAGAATGTTTAGTGGAAAGAACACAAGCCGGAAAACTTATACACACTTGCCAGAGTGCAAGGCTCTGTGGTTTCACTGTGTGTAACCATTACTGTGTGTGTAAGTGACGCATTCAACTGCCTCACCACCTCTTGTGCTAGTCGTTACGAGCCTTTGTCTGCGTGGCAGAAGGGGGGCATTTAGTGGGTGCAGGGGTTCCTAATGGGACTTTCTCTCAAAGTGATTCATAAGAGTCCACTCAGAAACGTTAGGAGCTGCTTGAGTCAGAAGCTTTCTTCTTACTCACAAGACTTCAGACCGCAGGCAGAAGCAGTCAGAATTTCCGCCTGGGGGCAAGAAGAGAGAGGACCGTCTGTTTTAAGCATGAGGACTTCCTTAGGACATTCCATCCATACCTCATTTGCTCTCTCCTTCTCAGCGGGGCACTATGGAATATTTCTACCCTATGTTGTCACTTTCACCTCCTTTTGTCACTTTCACCTTCTTTTGTTCTAAAGTTCCCCAAGCCTCATTTGCTTTGTGTTAAAGGACTTTGGGCTCAAAAGCTTCACAAGTACTTCCAGATTAGAGAAAAGTTCAGGAAGTGGTGCCTTTTAAATTGAAATAAAGAAGAACCCAAATGCCAAAGATGGGATGAGCCATATGCAGGACATGATCAGATCAGGCATTAGAAAAAAAGGAGTGTAGCAAGCAGGACATAGTATGATGTTTCCAGGTTATTGTTCAGGATGCCCTGCAGATTTACTGCTTGGAAGGTACATATCTCTCTTTCATTCATTCCTTTATCCATGCATTCATTCAAAACAAGTAGTATATGCCAAGAGTGGTGCTCAAAACAGAATGGGCATGATAGTGACCTGGCTCCTTCCTTTCCTTAGGGAGTATTATGGAAGAGGTAGACATTAATAAAATATTATACAAACTTCTTAGTGATGACAGTGGTAAGTACCACATTAGAAGAGGGGGCCTTATAATTGGGAGATTTATCCTAATTCGGAAGGTTTCAGTAACACAGTGACAAAGCTGAGAGCTGAGAGCAATGTGGACGTTGGTCACATAAAGGGGAAGGAGAAGAGACAGGTTTTCTAGGCAGAGTGAATGTTTCCTGTGAGAGCCCTGAGCTGGGCACTGGAAGGTAGCCAGTTCCAGGGCAGCAGAATGAGGGAAGTGCAACAAGGAAAAGGGGCTGTCTGGCACCAAGCTGCATAAAGCCCCTCCTTGACATCCCTGTGGTCAGGCTCTACACTCAGGAAACAAGTTCCTAATCTGAAGTTGCTCGCCAAATCATGTTGCTCCTGAGACAAAGTCAAACACTCTGGTCCCTCGGACCATTCCTGGGAGGCAGGACTCTGGTGCTTTCTCCATAGGTTCTGTAGTCAGAATGATGGCAGGGCTAATCACTAGCTGCTTTGACACTCAAATCAGTTGCTTCATATCCACAGGTCTCAATGACCTAATCTGGAAGACGAAGATGTATCTGTCAAAGCAGAGAAGCCATTCCCTGAGTCTCCAGTCCTCAGAAGCTGGTGTTGATTCTCAAACACCCTAAGTTACTTCTCTCTATATGCTGGTCATTCTTGGATATCCTCCTGATGGTTAGTTTTTTGTATCAACTTGACAAGGCGTGGTACCCAGTAATTCAATCACCAGTTGTCTAGGTATTGCTAGGAAGGTATTTTGTAGATGTGGCTAAAATTTACAATCAGTTGACTTTAAATAGAGGAGGCTATCCTGAATAATTTGGGTAGGCCTCATCCAATCATTCAGAAGGACTTAAAAGCAAAACTGAGACTTCCATGAGAAGAAATTCTGCCTCCCAACAGTAGCATCAGCTCCTGCCCTAGTTTCCAGTCTATAGACCTGCCCTACATATTTCAAACTTGCCAGATCCTACAATTTCATAAGCCAACTCCTTGACAAATCTCTCTCTATATATCTGTACCTATGTCTAGTTCTATGTATCACCTTCTGGTTCTGTTTCCCTGGAGAATTCTGACCAAGATATCCTCCAATTAGACTATAAACTCTACTGACCAAAATCCTTATCTGTTTGACACATTGTTGCATCCCCAGAATCTAGAATGATTCTTGGCACACTGTTGATGCTCCAGAAAAATTGTTGCATGAACAGATATTTGTCCAAGGGCCTAGCACTCCTTCTTGCCTCCATGGCCATCCTGTCTCCTTCACACACTCACTCTTCCTGACTCTCTCTCACATCCGCTTCTTTTCTTCTCTCCATGCCTCCCTGCCCTGGCTAGTCATCTTTTTCTCTGTATACAGCATACTGCAACAGCATCTAAACTGCTCTCCATGCTGCCAGTCTTTTCCTGTTCTCTCCATCCCACTCAGCGTTGCCAGATTTATCTTCCTAAAATATAGCACTACTTACGTCACCCCCTTGTTCCATTCTGTTCTGTGCTAGGAGCTGGGTACAAAAATGAATAAGACAAAGCTCCACTCTTCAAGACAATACCACAATCCTCTAGTGATTCCCTGTTAACAATATTGGAAATGCCATTGAAAGGTCACACTCCTGGATCGATTGTTTTCTGGCTTTTCAATCTTAGACAAGATATCTTAGCTCTCTAAAACACAATTCTTTATTGGTAAAATTGTATCTTATAGGTATGGGGTTTGTGAATGAACGAGTCTCTCTCTGTGTGTGTGTGTGTGTGTGTGTGTGTGTGTGTGTGTGTGTGTATGTGTATGAGACAGAGAGAGGGAGAGAAAGAGAGAGAGAGAGAAAGAGAGAGAGAGAGAGAGAGAGAGGTTCACAAAGCTTAAACATAAGTCCTGGTGCTCCTTAATTATAAACTAACATTAGTCTTATTAATACTGCTGCATTGCATCTCATTTTTAGATATTATGTGATCACTATGATATCTACTCTTTAGTGTAAACTTCCTGACATGGAAAGCAAGTAACAGCAAACTTAAATCAAAGGGAGAACTAAAAGCAAAAAAAAAGTGTTAAAATGGCACATAGGGTAGTTATGCTCATTATTAACTAACATTCAAGAATTTTTAGCACCATATTCATGAATTTCTAGTACCATGTCAAATATGAAAGTTAAATCCTTAAAATTAGAATTGCAATACAATGTTTCTCCTTCTAAATGGAAAGAAAAATAAAAGTCACAGGACTTAACAAATAAACAAATAGGGAATGAATCTAGAATCCCATGAACTGCTCCAACCACTTAGCAAACATCCGCAAGGCAAAGTCAACTGCAACTCATCTTATCTGTAATATTCACAGTAGGACACTGTCTCTTCCTATGTTTTAATACTGGCTGTGTGAGAAAGGACAAACAAAGGAATAAGAAGATGAAGTAATCTATCTCTTCACAATCCTGACAAATGGGAAATGCAGCAAAGGCCAAAACTGTTCTCTTGCCTCCTTCACAAAGGGAAGCACACATTTGAGAAAGAGTTCTTCAAAACATCTGACAAAACAGGATGCAGATCACTGCAGAATGATGCCGAGATGACTGTGAATAAGTTCTCCCATTTTCAGTAGTATTGACAAACCAAGCTAAATTAATTTCCACATCCACTGAGTCTGGTTTTCTGATGTCCTTTTACTTATACATGTGATCACTTTCCCAATTAAATGACATTTTCCTTCCCAGCTGGAGAAAGGACTACTCTGGCCTTTCCATGTCATTCACGGTTGTAGGTTTTGTTACATCCTACCACCTTGCAGTTGAGATTAAAACCCTACCACCCTGCAGTGGAGATTAAACACCTATCACTTTGCAGTTGATGATAGAACCTTATCACCCAGCAGTTGAGATTAGGACCCTACCACCCTGCCGTTGAGATTAGGACCCTGCTACCCTGCGGTTGAGATTAGGACCCTACCACCCTGAAGTGGAGATTAAACCCCACCACCCTGCAATTGAGATTAGGATCCTACACACTGCAGTTGAAGTTAGGAGTCTATCACCCTGCAGTTGAGATTAGGACCCTCCCACCCTGTAGGTGAGATTAGAACTCTATTACCCTGCAGTTGAGATTAGAATCCTATGGTTTTTCTTTGGCACCAGCACAAGCTATCTCATTCTCCTTAGTGAAAAGGTTATTCAAGAATGTGAATCACTGTGGTACCTAAGAATCCCATATTCCAAGGCAACATTAACTACTTAACAAATGATATCCAGTTCTTCTATGGATACCAAAATGTGTCTTCAAGGCCTCTGAATCTTATTTGTAGAATTGTAAATGAAGTGAGAGTCAGTTTTTAATAAATGATACTATCGACAATACCTGTTGGTTATTGTATTCCTACTATGTACCAGGTGTGTCACACACGATTAATTCACAATGGTTCTATGAAGTAGAAATGACTGTTCCCATTTTATAGAGGAGAAAGCTGAAGCTTATTAAATTTTCCAATGAACTAGTAAGCTTCTGTGCTAAGACTCATTCCCCATCCAATGGTGCTTTTTACCCACTTGGCAGCCCTTCCCCAGTGCTTGAGGTGTCATGGATGAGGGGACTAGTTGGAGGTATTCAAACTTTTATTCTTTCCCAATGGATTTTTGTGCTCCAGCATCCAGCTCTTTACTTCTCTGAGTCCAAGTTTCTTCATTTATAAAACAATAGCAAGTAATTGAGACACTTGTTAATACTGTTCATTCAGCATGTCAGTTTTCCATCTTTCTAGCACATGGAGAGACTACAACCTTGCCTGTTGGGAGCTAAGGCG